GACCCGTTGAAACCTAGCGGAAGAATGAACACACAGCAATGTTCCTGATCAGTGAAAACCGGAGTTTTGGCGTGCCTTTGATTGTACCCTGCAAAGATGTGCCTTCACCAGTTCGCTATAAAAGATTCCGTCCCTGTTGCCATTCGACCCTATGCATTTTCTGTAATATTCACGTTCGTATTGCGCGCAGGCCAGTCCAATAATAGGATGTACCGACCCAGAAACCATACTTTCATTAATTGGACAAAATGAACTGAGGCATTATCCCGTTGCTACTCCATTCCTCTGATGTGTTTTCCGTGGATCGATGGCAGACGAACATCCATTGTTTCTCTATCCGGTGGAGCCAAATTGCTTCTTTATCGCGGACAGTCCCTTGTGACTTGGGCCAGGATGAATTCTTTTTTCTTCTATCAAACCATACAAGTAGCAAACCACAACAAGACTGAATTTTTTTAAAATCATCACTGGATGTCGTACTCACTCCCCATTCACGATTCAAAATGTGGTCTTCCTCAGTTGGCGTTACATTGCGTATGTGTTTTAGTCAGTAAGGGGGTCTTCCTCGCCAGCTCTGTGTACCTTGGATACAGAGAACTTCGAAGTAGTTGTTGGACACGTCTGAGACCTCTTCAACTTTGATGAATTAGTTAGCTGGTTAGATGGGGTTCTTTTCAGCTCCTCACGACTTGGGTTTCCTGCAGTCACACTCGATCGAAAGTACTGGCTAGCCAATTGTTTTGAAACACATCAGTTTGTCGTTTGTTCCGGTGTCCGGTAGACTAAAATGTGCCCTTTCCGTAACTCAAACGGCAAAGATCCGCGTACCATAGTTCACTGGTCTGAATAAACTGCCCCTTGTTGATCGGTTCTTGTTTTTCACAGTCGAGAATAACCTTGTAACACTCTCTGGATTTGGGAATGCGGTTCATGTCGAGTGCAGCTTGGTGCTGGTAATCGATAGCTCGCAGCCAATGAGTTCAAAGCAATGTTTTTGGACAAAATTACAATCATGAGATGAAAACTGGAGATTTCAAGTAGAGTAAGAGCCGAAGAAACCGAAGAAACGAGTAACCTCAACAGAGTTTCACGCACCTATGATTAGAAGATTTCATGAGCGAATTTACCATTATCGAGATCCATTCTCTCCGTTGTCCGAACCCAAAGACACGGTGCCCAGCCCTATTAGAGGCAAAACAACTATCCAGTATGCAAGGAATTGTGGTTGGACAAAACTTCGTGAGAGTGAAAATGGAGTAGCCTGGAGATCCAATGATTTGGATGATTGCAAATACCGACATCGCTGCGTGGCGGGGCGCTGGTGAACCAATGGTGAACAGACCCTGGCAGCCATGGAACCCGGTTGTCTTGAAAGACAAAATCGAACAATTATCAGCTGATACTGTATCCACGCACAACCGCTTATGGAGTCAGCCCAAACATAGCAACGAAGAAAGAAAACATGGGAGAGGCTACAATGACTTTGATCATAGTCCACAGGCAATCCCTCGGCATAAGGAATTAACATAGGTCGTGAGACAAATCGGTTGCAGACCTGATCAGGCACTGTGTGGTAAACCAGCATTGTTTCAGGTAAACGAAAAGACGAGAGGTGATTTATGGGTTTCGCTTCGACGTAAACAATTGCAGAGTTTGCAAAACAAGCAGGCACGTAAGTGTGCATCAGATGCATGCAGCGCCTGAATACTTCTAAACGAACAGATCGATAACATTTTCTCCTAGATCGAATAATGAGTGGACCATATTGTTCCAAGTCGATCTGATGATATCATTACGGCCATCAAACATCTGTGTCCAAGAATGCTTGATAAGGCTGGAGCATTAGTGACCCCCACCCACACACACGATAAGGCAAATCTGTCCAGCTGCTCAAATCAGATGCTTTCTAGTTAATCCAGAGAGGATATTCAAACCCAGCTCTTCAACTGTAGGGACGAACAAGGTTCTCATAAGAGTGAAGAGATAAGAAGCGAAAGAAAACTCTTCCGACAATGAAAATGTTTTCGATTTGGTTTGCACGGAATGTTCCTGGAGAAATTCCGTTTCTGGAGAAATTTATCGGATACTCTTAAAACGGGACAATGAAGTTTGAAGAACTGACATCTGAACCCCTCATCGAATCCCCAGATGTGAACTTAAACAGATCTGTCACGAACAGTATGCACGAAGGGTGCGAAATGCTATTGATCAAAGCAAACAACCGGGTCAACAAACACAGTGATAGGTGATAAGCTGAGGACAACTTTTGAGTAATGTTTGATTGTACCTTATCGATCAGCATTATTGGTAGCTGTGACTTGATGAAGATGCCCTCGGCAAAACGAGGTAAGCACTTTAACTTGACTGGAGCCCAGATTTCTGAAGACTCAGAACAGATTGCTGGGAAATTCATGCATAAGTCACTGTAGAACTAAAGAAATAGACTGATAAACATTAATGCTTTCACGCTCTCTCCTCCTGGTCAATACAGATCGAGGGATTACAAAGTTAAAAGCAAGCGATCCATACAGGCGAAAACGGATAAAGAGGAGTGTGTGTGTGTGGGTAAAGGTGTGAAAACTGTTTGCGTCAGGATCAAGTAGCATGAGTGGCCAGCGGTCACGTGAGCAGATCAAACGTTTTGCGAGTACACAGACTCAGGTTGTACGAGCGAATCTCAACTGCCTCAGCTGGGCCAGATGTTGATATTGATATTCGGAAAGCGTTGTAAGAAATAATCACATGACTCGTGTCAGCCAAGTGAGCGAATGTGCTGGGAGTAGACCTCCTCGACCCGGTTGTTAACCAAAATGGGCGATCTTCATTGGTTCTCTTGCATAGCTGTCGCGTCGCGTGCGCTATGTATTCCGCCGTACAGTAACAAGTGAAGAAGTGTATTACCAGGCTCTGAACGTGGACCAGCAGCTTGTCCTTGAGATGTAAGGGTGCCATCTGCGTGGTCATGATCTAACCTTTGAATAAAGCAACCAGAAAGATCTTCCGGATCGTTTGATAGAGAGACGCCGAATCAGATAGTCTTCAGCCAGATCCCCTTTGAAAGAAAGACTGATGAAGACAGATTTCATTCCATCTGTAATACACATGGCTTTCGTAGTTACTGAAACCATTTTTTGAGATGAACCGGTCTGGAGAATCATTTTAACGAAGCATGATGGAAAGCGACCATAAGTTTGCTTTCAGAGCAGACTTTTCTCGCCCGATCATCAGGACGCCGAGCTAAATTTTGTTTGTTTCAATGGTACAAAGCTATTGAGGTTAGCGTATTGTCCTGGATACGCCCATATATATATATATATATATATATATATATATATATATATATATAATACATCGTCCACATGAATGGTATCTACGTATCACCGGTAAAAGGCACCTTTTCTGTACTTAAGCGGAGTAGACGGCTCTGAAGACGTCCAATTCCTGATGAAATGAAAAGGTCAACGAAAGCTATTCGCGGCTTTCTGACAAAGTCATCCTCATATGTGTCGTAGAAGCATGTAACTGCAAGGCAGACGGATCTCTGACGAGACGAGAGGATTTCAAATGAATCGCCGTAGGGTTAGGTGAGCGAAGCTCGAGACAGCATTCGCTCCATTTAAAATAACCAAAGACCAAGAAAGCTGTTTAGCTGTATTCATGTTTGAAAAGAATCACACCACTTGGGACGACTGCTCTTCGGCGATGCGGGCAGCTTAATTTGAATAGATCTGTTTTAGATGCACAAAGCACGAAAAGACTTCATTTCGCTGGTCTAGCTGGTGATGATGGTTATGTGATGGTTTGGAGTAAGAATTTCGAAAGTAGGAAAACTCAACTGACTGCAGGTTAGGCAAAGGACTGGCCCATAAACCACGAGCTCGAACAATATCATTCTGACTGTGATTTCAGGGAACCGGATGGGATCAGTCGGCATGCTAACGCGGTGATACACACTATTTAGCTAATCAAAATGTAACCAATGCTTTGGACGTCAACAGCATGTATCGGTCAGCTCGCGAACAGGATATCATTTCAAACTAGAGGACATCTGGGGTTGACTACTGCGAGGAGTCAACGCAGACCCATGGTCGTGTCTTTCACATGCTGAATGAATTGAGGTTCACTATCTTTCATGAAAGAGCGAGGGTCAAAGCTACCGTGACTAAATTAACTTTGATCCGGTTCTGATTCAAGTTCGGAAATTCTTCTTGATCATTCGTCTGGTAATGTTTCACACATCCTACTCTTCTGCCTTACAGTAGTAATGCGAAAACCAAATAGGACTGAATATCAGTACTTTCTTGATAGAAAGGAAACCAAATTCCGGTCGAATATGAGACAGCTTCCACAGATGAGGTAGCACACAGGAGTCATTCCACCAAGGAACTTAGTCTTGGTAGGGTTAACATTCATAGTGTGAATGGTGAAAAAGGTCGCAACTTTTTATCGGACCCTCTAGAGATATCGAACGTTTGCGGGAGTGCAGGAACAATGGCGCGAGTGCTAAGACACACACTTGGCGGAGAAGCCAACGTCATAAAGGAAGAAGTTCACATCTAAAGAAATACACTCATTTGCAACTCAGTTTGGTTTTTCAAAGAGACTCACCTGAATCCCTTGTTTATGATATTCTACAACTGAAGTTGCTGCACACAGGGCGGTGCGATATCTCGAATATCGTGCCAACTGAATCATGAGGCGGCCTGAGTGCAGCACATTCAGTTGAAGAATATCATAAACGAGATATTCTCTTGAGTTTCTCGTGAAAACTGATTTGCAAATGAGTTTATTCCTCGACAACAGTCCAATTTGGGTTCAAGTAGAACAGGGCAGAACATAGAACTCGGGGACTGTGCCTACCTGATGAGCTCCAAGAAGTGCGAAACCGGTCGTGGGCTGTCGAAGAGTTTTCAGCAACCCAGTGAGTAGTTTCCTTTATGAAAAAAGTTCACATCTCTTTGTGACAAACAAACCCATAACCATCCATCAGGCTGACTTACCTGGAATAGAGTGACCATCCAATAACAAGCACCAGTCCGAGAAAAGTAAAGATATCTTTGCCCACATGACTCGCCACGGACCCGATTCCGCCTGGCAAGCATTGATTGAGCATAATTGTAGACACTGGTGAAGTGATCGATTTCGCTGCACTCGGTGATTCTGTGCTAACCTGATCCGAAAGTAGCCGATTCAAATGATCAGCGACAACCAGTAGTGGATGAACGGTGAGATTCTGCTGTTTGTCCACACTGAAACCGAGCCGTTTTTGCCAGGGAACGTCGGAGGTTAGGACTGAAGAATGACAAACACTCACAAGAATAAAATGTGCAAAAAATTATGGGACAAGGATACAATCGGTGAAAACGATTCGACACTGTTTTGGATGATAACTACAGAATTTGTTACAGTCTGTAGGATTCAACGACCTTGATGGTCCTGGATCTGCTGGCATAAAATTCCGACGAATGATGCATAGTCTCGAGGAATGAAAATTACCTGCACCTGACCCTAGTGGCACACAAGACCAGATTTGTTTTCATAAAGTCTAGGTCAGCCTGCATGCACATGTGCAGAGTGTAATACCGAACAGACAAGATACATCAGAGTCAAATTACTCGTCTGGCTAAATCATCCGTGATTGGAAAAACGAGGCACCCTCATCAGTTCGGCTCATCGTCATGCAACTTTGTCCAAAATGTGAAATTCGCTTCCACTTTGATGCCTGCATTCGACAGATGAACTATCACTGGAAGCCTATGTTCGTGGAATTTGGTGTTTACTGAACTAAAAGGTTAATGGAGGATAACTGGCGAAGCTCAGACGTCCCAAATGAGTCGTGGTTATCTTGCAGCTACTATAAATCTTCAACAGATACACCCATCGGGGTGACAAGATCCCTGAGGCTCGCCCTTATTGACTATTTGAATTGTGGCAAAACATTGGCGCGAATTTCAGAGTTTCCCATTTCCCGGAGCAGCTCCCCCAAGAAAAGCGGCCTGCATGAACCAAACGAAGGAGATGCTAGGTGTGAAACTTGTATATAGTCAGGCATGAGAGGGTGAGGCGAAGGAATAGCAACGGTCTAGACGGAAGTTTCGAGCTTGGAGAGATTTAAGGAAGTGTGGAAAAGGAAGAAATTCGATAAATCTTGAATGGGAGGCAAAATTCCATCATCCGTATAGAACGGTTCGTTATATCGTTTAGAAGGCGTGTAGTCAGGCTTCCAAATAGAGAATTGTACAGCAGTTTTCTTGTACGGTGTTACCATATTCCTGTATCCATTCAAATGTAGATGAGAGAATGAAATCCTCCGAAATCGCTCAGTGACCAAAAGAAGCATCCCCTGTTAAAAAGGACTATGTAGCTATTCTGAGGGACTGAATAAAAGGGCATCACAAAGAAAGAAGTAAATTAAAGTCCCAGTACATATCAGAGTAACGTTCGAGAAACAGCCGCTGGACAGAAAATCCTTTCCGGGGAAGTCC